CTGTGTTGGCAAAAGAGAGATAACTCAAATCAAAACCTCACTGAATTATACCTTCATTTTGTGAGGTATAAAAAGAAATGTAGACTAAACCCAAAATAAGCAAAGGGAAGAAAATAACAGTAAAGACCAAAGCAGAAATAAAAGAAGTAGAAAAACAACAGAAAAATCAATGAAAGTAAAAAATTTTCCTTTTGAAAAGATCAATTAAATTGAGAAACCTTACTGGTTAATAGAAAAAGAATGAAGACTTAGTTACTGAAGTCAGAATGAGTGAAGAAGAGAGATAAAATGCATTATGAAGGAACATGATGAATAATTTTATGCCAGAAAATTGGATAACCAAAACAAAATGGACGAACTCCTAGGAAGGACACACATTGCCAAACTGACTCAAGAAGAAATGGAAAATATGAAGTGACCTGTAACAAGAAAAAGGATTGAAATAATAGTAAAACATTGCCCACAAAGAAACACCCAGACCCAGGGGGCGTCTTTGGTAAATTCTGCTTAAAGAATTAAAAGCAGTTTTGCATAATCTCTGTCCCCAAATGGGAAAGGGGATAACATTTCTAATTCACTCTTGGAGGTTAATATAACTTTGATAACCAAAGACATGACAGAAAAAATGCAGATTAGTATTTCTTATGAATAGAGTTGCAAAAATCTGCACTAAATATCCCCAAACAGGAAACAGCAACTAAAATGATTATCCAACATTACCAAGTGGGATTTATCTGAGCAATGCAATATAAAAACAAGTGTAATAAACTATGTTAGTAGAATAAAGGACAAAAATCACATAATCATTTCAGTAAACGTGGGAAAATACTTGACAAATCCCTACAGTGCTTTATCATAAATACATTCACAAAATGAGGAATAGAAGGAAATTTCTTTAGTCTCAGGAAGGGCATCTATGAAAACAGGGCAGGAGCCTGTTTTTCCTTCTAAGTTCAGGAATCAATCAAGGATACCTCTCTTGTCACATTTATTCAGCATCAGGCTGGAGGTTCTAGCCAAGGTAATCAGGCAAGAAAAACATAAATGTCATCTAGATTAGAAAGAAAGAGTAAAATTGTATTTGCAGATGATAGGATCTTGCATACTATGAAAAATCCCAAGGGTTTCCACACTCTAATATAGACACACATACACACATTCATGCTCACTCACACAAGCCATTAGATCTAGTAAGTTCAGCAAAGTGGCAGGATACAGGAAGCATAAAGTCAATTGTGTTTATATGCACTTAAAGTGAACAATCTGTAAATTAAGAAAAAATTTCATGTGTAATAGTGTCAAAAATACCAAAATACTTAAGAACAAATGTAACAAAAGACCGGTGTCTTCAGTAGACAAATGTTGAAATGGAATTAATTAATTAAAATGTTGAAAGAAATTAAGGAGAACCTAAATAAAAGGAAGGATATATTTTTTTTGACTTAAAATTGTTAAGATACCAGTGTTTCCCAAATTGATCTATGTAATTCCTATAAAAATCACAATTGTCTTTTCCTATGTCCCCCTGAAATGTAACAAATCCATAATAGTCAATGCAAGACTGAAAAAGCAGAATAAAGTTGAAGGATTCATCACTATTGGATTTCAAAACTTACTACAAAACGAATTTAATCAAGACAGTATGGTACAATAGAATAATCTATACATTAGTGGTATATTATTGTGAGTCCAGAAATAAACCCTTGAACTTATGATTAATTGGTTTTTAACAAGGGTGATAAGATAGACTAGTGGAGAAAGAAGTTTTTTAAGAATGAAGCTAGAATGTCCACATGTGAAAGGATGACATTGATCTACTTCATACCAGGTTCAAAAATTAACTCAAAATGGCCATTGATCTAAATGTAAGAATGAAAATCCTAAAAGTCTTAGAAAAAACACGAGTAAATCTTCATATTACAGATTTAGGCAATGGTTTATTAGATATAACACTGAAAACTGAAATGATAGAAGAAAAATTATAAGAACTAGGTTTCATAAAAATCTCAGACTCGCTGGGCACAGTGTCACAGGCCTGTAATCTCAGCAGCTCAGGAGGCTGATACAGGAGGTTTGCATGTTCAAAGCCAGCCTCAGCAAAAGTGAGGCGAGGCACTAAGCAACTCAGTGAGACCCTGTCTCTAAATAAAAATACAAAATAGAGTTGGTGAGGCGGCTCAGTGCTTGAGTGTCCTTGAGTTCAATCCACAGGAAAAAAAAATCTAAAATGCTTTCCCTTCAGAGGGTATCAAGAAAGAAAACACATTCCACAGAACAGTAGAAATTTTTTTTTTGAAAATCATATATTTGCTATGAAATGAAATTTTCAGTTAGGGAACATCTAGTCCCCTAGCCTCCCATGCCAGCTCTCACGTTCTGCTGCTGGTGATGGTCTGCAGACCCTACATTGGTCACAGTGGTAATTCCCACTGGTCTATGGTTCCACTGTAGAAGGTTGACCAGTTGGTTCTCAGACTCTGGCCCTTCACAGAGCTCCCTTATTTAATTAGAAGCTGCATTTCCACCTCTGCATACGTAATCTTCACATACACAGATAGTACTTCTTAACTTTGTTCACATCCTTGTTTGATTTTTCTTTTATGTATATATATTTTTTTAGATACTGGGGATTAAACTCAGGGGCACTCAACCACTGAGCCACATCCCCAGCCCTATTTTGTATTTTATTTAGAGACAGGGTCTCACTGAGTTGCTTAGCACCTCACGTTTGCTGAGGTTGGCTTTGAACTTGTGATCCTCCTGCCTCAGCCTCCCCAGCTGCTGGGATTACAGGCGTGCACCACTGCGCCTGGCTGTTTGATTTCTTTAATAACATCAAATCAACTTGGCTCTCTTCTTTACAAGGGGTAGGGTTTTTCCAACTGGAATTCAGAGCTATTGTATTTGCAGTAGATCTGTATGACCACACTAAATAACAATAATAATAATAGTAATAATAATAATAATTTCATTTTCTGTTATTTTTAGTGACATTATTCAGCTTCTACTATTATTGATGCATTTACCTTCAATGTTACAGTGGTCTACCATAGATCAAAATACCTCTGGGTTAAGGGGAAAGTCACTATTGGAACAAAACAAAGAGCCTGTCTGTGCACGTCAGTTTGACTCTATTTCCATTTTCTTTTGTGGTCTTATTTAGGATTTTGACTAGACATGAATAAAGAGATAGGTTTCACCTAGGATGTCAACTTAGACTTTTGTCTCTCATCTGCATAGTCAGAAAGCTGATTTTGATCTTATTTTTAAATTAATTAATATATAATTAATTTAAAAAGTAGGGACTGAAACAAATGAATGGTCCTCAAAAGAGATCAAAAAGTTTATTTTGCTAGTGGGTGCTCTTTCATACAAAACCCACAAACAAAACAAACCTACGATGAATGGGCTGCTGATTGGCTGGGTCTCTTGGTGTGGGGGAAGTGATCTAAATCTATTCTTCCTCCTTCTCAGAAGGAAGTGCGTTTTGTGAACATACATTGGGTACTCCCCTGGCTTCTCTTCGTTGGCTTTTAGTTCCAGTAGGATTGTTTGTGCTGTGATGTACATTCATAGTGGTGGTGGTAAATCTTAAGGTAGATAGGCAACTAAGTACAGCTTTAGGAGTATAAAGACACAAACTGTCATAAAAGACATATACTTTCCTCACAAATGCTACTAGGGTAAGATATTTTGGAATTCTTGCTAGTATTAGGCTGAGTCATACACTCTCTTCATTCCATCTGGATGTGGTCCTAAACCTGCTTAGTTTCCTTGGGGTGGTGCGCTATATCCCCACCGTTGAGTACTGGCGGTGGGCTTCCTTTGCATCTTCCTCTGTCTGCCCCGGGTCCAGCCCTCACTTGGTGTGTTCTTCTTAGAGACCAGTGTTCTTCCTCTCACCTCTGCCTTGCAGGCATCAATCATCTCTTCTTTCTGCCATATTTATGCTCTTGGAAAAGTCTCTTCTATTGCAGGGAGGAAGCTGGGAGAGCTTTGTCGGTTAATTGGGACCAGAAGCAAAGAAAGAATTAAAAAGGGGCACATCAATCCCTTCCCTATTCTGGAGGAAATTCATTCGTTATCTTTTAGGTACCACTGGTGATAAACTGGAGTAACAGCAGTTAACAATACTCAGACTACTGATGCTGCTCAGAAAAATGATATATGTTGAGCATTAATTTTGAAAATCTAGTTTCATATTCACTGGGTTTTTCCAATTCTGTCTGTTTTCTGGTTTTAAAAATTATAAAATTGATATCATTAGAGGTGAAAAAATGGTTGAATATTGGCAATCTTTTATGACTCAGCCTAATACTAGCAGGAATCCCAAAATATCTTACCCTAGTAGCATTTGTGAGGAAAGTATATGTCTTTTCTATCGCTTAATGACCAATCTTTAGAGAAAAGAAGAGTGATTTTTGCTGTTTTTTTTTTCACATAAAACATACGTAAGAATCTAATTAATATTGATATTGTCCATATTGTAGGATTCATAGTTCCTCTGGTTTTTAATTTTTTCTGAGTTAGAAAAAAAATAACAGAATATAAATTTGGTACAGTTTAAGAAAATTAAGATCTACATAATGGATATGATTATTCATATGTCAGAGGTATACTTCCCCTGACAAAAGATGTGTCTTAAGTCCTTAAGATACTTCATTTATGTGGTGTATTTAAGAATCAGTTTTCAGATCATTAACTACTGGAGGGATTAAGATAGAAAGAAAATTGAAGTCATGTAATCCATTGAGGATTAATCTGAAAATAAGATTAAGTATCTCTAAAATCCTAGACTCAAACAGTGGAAAAAAATGGTGATTTTTATGAAACTAGTCCAACTCAGAAGAGTTTATTTGTGGTACAATTACAGAATGGAGCTAGAGACTTCTAAACTAACTTCAGTTTTCAGTGAGAAGTAACATAATGAAGTTACGGTTTATGCTTTCCTGAATCTTTGTCTTTTCTTCTAAGTTTTCCTGTGTCTTTTTCTTTTCAAGGTTTCCACAGCTGGATTGTCTACTAGGTCAAATTGTCACCAATGGCAGTAAAACTCGTTTTCGGGGGGTCAAGGTGAGTTTATGTGGAATTCTGCTTGATTTATTATTTCATTTGACTTGGGTCTGCAACTGCCTCTTAAATATTTTATGCTTCCTAGTGGTAGTTTTATTTTATTTGTTTGCAGTGCTAGAGATGGAACCCAGGGCCTTACACATTTTAGGCAAGGACTCTCTACCAGTGTGTTCCTCCCCCACCGGTAGCAGTTTTATTATAAATGATATTATTCATGAAATAAGTCAATGAAAATGAATTTTCTTTTGAAAGCTTAATTTCATTTTGCTTTTTTGAAAATGCGAGGAATACATTCAGTGACTGAAACCCAAGTTCAAACATCATGTTTTGTTAATGATTTTAAGTGTGTGGAGCATGCCTCTCCTAGACATCTCTTTCCCAGTGGTAATTAATCTTTTGCTGTAACTAAAGGTCATCATATTATTGTTAACATGGGCTTAGTAGATCAGTTGACAGAACTAGGACAAGAAGGTACTGTAGCACGTAGGGGCTTGCTGTGAGTGGGGGAGATACTTGATAACTGAAGGTACTAAGAAAAAGGCCAGATTGCAGAGGAAACCATTGCTGCCCAGGGTCCATCCAACTAAGGCTGGAGTAGTAGTGGCCAGCCAAGGTGACAGGGATTTAAGACATTTGAAAGGAGCTTTTCTGAGAGTCACCGCTAGCCCATATGTGCAGATGAGACCAAAGCACCCAAGACACTTTCTTTCCATCTACTGGGAAATTGTTGAACTGTATTATTGATTTTTAGAATAAGATGCTTCATTGCCATATACTAGAAAATGTAGCATAAATAATCAAATTACCATCTTTAATGTATCCAAGTTTTAAGAAAAATGTAAACAAATTTTAAAATAATAGAAAGGCTCAGGCTATCACTGGCACCCCCTTACATGTGGTACCCTTGCATAGTGCACAGCCTGAACAACCAGCTGGCCAGCTCTGCTTTGTTGGGATTCAACTCTCGAAAGACTCTAAAGAAGGGTCTTCATGTTGAATTCTGGTCTAGGGGCAGAGGATAGAAATAAGTTTTAGGTGTGGCTTTTATTGGAAACTGAGGTAGTTTGAAAGAAACTTAGCAGGTTTGCCCAAAAGGGGGTAGCCTGAGCATCCTAGGTGTAAAACTAGGGAAGAAAAGCTAAAACACTGTTTTAAACTAACTTTACGACTGATTTCTAGTTAGTGACCCATAGTGTATATATTCAGATTTCCCACACTGGAATCAAGTTGCCACCTGTGTGATGTTCTTCTCAAAGACTATTTACACTAGAACTTTTTTTTTTTTCCAGTAAAAGGGACTTGGCTTGCAGAATGTTGAGTGTGTTTACAGCAAATGGCTCTCCCTTACTTACACATTTTTGTAATTCATCTGCTTATAAAACAGAAAACTAGCATGTTGATGTTAATGCGGTGGCAACAGTAGCTCAGTAGATGCTGATGGACAAACACAGGGCGGGAGGGATGCAGCCATGTTTGGGGTCAGATATAGGGGGCAGTCAGAGTATGTGACTGCGGATTGAAAGTCATGGAGAGAAAAGAAACATCTATGGAAAAAGCGTCCTGCTGTGTGACTGGCGGGAGTCAGGTGGGGTGGTGGCTACGGAGCAGGGTGCTGAGGCAGTGGGGGCCCATGGTACTCAGGACTCACAGGGAGGAAAGAAATGACCAATGGAAAAGAAAAGACGTCTGCCTCCTTGGGTGCTGAGGACGGAACTGATCAGTGGGAAACTCCAGGGCCTCTTCTTGGTGGGACGGTTTCTCATTGTATTACCCAGGTCCCCTTATTCCCAGAAGGGCACCATTGTCTTAAGAACAACTTGGAGAACAGCCATCCCCCCCGTAAACACTGGTGTTGACCTGCTGTCCTCCTCCTCCTGACCCACGTCCCTTCCTCCTAGGAATATGATCAATGAGGAGAATCGCTTATGAAATTTAGGGTGAATGGCCCTGGAGTTATTTACATCTGAAACTTCCCCCTTTCTCTACCAACACAAAATCTAGACTTTGAAGTAAAAAAAAAAAAATCAAGCAGATTTTTTTAAAAAGTGAGAGGAAGGGACAGAAAGAAAGGGGAAGGCAGGATAAGGAAGGTTTATATTAATCAGCCCCCACCTCCCCCCCCCGCCCGCCATAATCGCTGAGCTTTCTGTTTTACTCTATGGATATGACGTCTGATTCTTTTTCCTTTGTCTGTAGAATACCATGAGAAAAGTGGGAATATGAAGACATTTTGGAGCTGATGTTTGTCACCTGTGATATTGAGCTAATAATTTTGTGTTCCATTTTTTCCTTACTTTTCAGTGGAGAGAATGATATTTGCTATTAGAAAACACTGAGGGAATATTTGCAAAAACATCAGCTTAATGAAAGTTAAAATGAAAAAAGAATGATGGATTTGATGATGATCTGGTGTTCTCCATATCACTGAGCTTCATAATTTTTGGATTGAAATATCTTATCACTATGTGGTCCAAATAATTGTCCTGATTATTTTTTTGAGAAGAGATTCTTTTTTTTTTTGGTGATTATATAAAGATATACCTGCTTGGCAGGAAGAGAGATTTCAAGGTAAACGGTAGCTTTTTAGAAAGGGAAGTTAGGGGGTTATTTTGCGATGGAGTCTGTTAGGTCCGTGGTGTCTTCAGCTTCCCGTGTGCTTAATGGACCAGGATGCCCTTGCAGTGCTCAAAGGCTAATGACCTCTGTCGTATAGTGAGTGCTCTTTGATTCCGTGTTGTGTTGACCTTAGAATACTCCTCATAGTTTGCTTCTTGCAACATCCTCTGAGACAGGTATTTCCATTTCCTGAGTGAGGACAGGTGGAGCTGGGGCTGCAGCCAGACCTATCTGTCACCAGCAGGCTTACTTGCCTCCTTGGACCCTGGACAAGTTCCACTCTTCAAGGTCTTTTTCATTTCCCCAGTTCTATGCATTTCAGACAAACCGGTCTCATCCCTCAGAACTACTTTAAAACTGAGCAGATAATTCTGTCATTAGAGGGTACCAGCTGAACAAGGCCAGGGTCATCCTAGACATAAATGCATGCCATGGAATGAGATGGGGAAAAGTTGTTGGTTGCAATATGTTTCCTAGAGACCTTAGAGATTTTTATGTGCTACATTTTTTTTTTTTTCCCTCCAAAGAAGGTCCTGCGCTTCTGAAATAGCTAAATGTCAGGACTGAAACACACTCAGATTTGGAGTATGAGAAGAAACCCAACAGTGTGTGTCAGTCTCTTTTGTCTGCTTTAAAATTGTCCTCAGTAATCACCTTACCAGGGTTTGGAGCCCATTATTTCAGAGAGGGTTAGGTTCATCTTTTTCTGATCCATCTTTTCCTTAGGCTAAAAGCACAGGAGAAGAAAAGACCAAACACATTTTAATATTTAAATCCACAGATCCAGAGCCCAGAATTTTAGGAAATTAGTTGGTGGGGAAAAGGGAGAGACAGAGTCAATAAATGTCACATGGGCGATTCTGTTATGATGATAGAAACCACACATAAGCTTCTTTGTTGTCCATTTTTAAATGGTTCATCAGGCGGTACAACTGTCCAGTGCTGCTCTCCTCTGTGCTCTGTTAACTAGCTGCCGTAGCGAGGAATTAAACCTTCCGTCTGTTGGATGCAAGGCCAGATTTTATTAAACTGGGTCATCAGGGCATACACACAGGAAGCTGGGTCACACTGGCACTGTGTCATCTTTGGTGATTAAATGGGTAAACATGCCAGCACACAAACAAAATGACTTCACTCCTACTAGTAGAAGCAGCTAGCAGGTATCTGGATGGGGTGTGATATTTGAGCACATGTCCTGTTAGTGATGAATTACATCAGGAACCTTGGGAGCGTTCCTGTGATACTCGTATGTCAAAGAAGTTCCTTGCATTTGAAATTATCACAGAAGTTCCAGAATTATAAATGAATGGGTTATTATTTAAGTGTTTTACAATTTATTGCTTCAACTTGCACATTTTTAATACAAGGTAGATTCCCCCACTGCCTCCTTTTAGAAACATGGGGAGCCTGAGCCGACACCAGCTGCTTGGCAGTGGTTTCCTGGGGCAGAAGCTTGGGATTTTGCACAGGGAGATCAGTTGGAGATCCGTTTATAGTTTTGCTTTTGAAGGTTTAGCTTGGTTCTATCTAGTGATAGGAAAATGAACCAAATGACTTTTTAAAAAATGGCTTTTTTAAGATCTGCTTTTGCCTGAAAAGGATTTTGTATTTAATTCTTCATTATATTTATATAGTGGGTTGTTGTGCTTAGCATACTGATTTTTTTAAATGCTCTGAGTGCATGTGTGAGAGATTTATGTTAAGCTTCTAATATAGGGATGTATCTCGTAGATGCCGAGAGAAAAAAATTGTTTTGCTTTATGGAGCTGGGGATGGAACCCATGGTCTTGCCATCCTAGGCAGGTGCTCTACCACTAAGCTACATCCCCAGCACTGAGACAGCTTTTTTCAGAAGTAGCTGTGGAGCCCTTGTGGCTTGGGGAGCAGGGCGGTCTCCTGGCGAAGGATGCAGCATTCTCTGATCTCGCTCCTGCACTCTACACTCGTCACTGGGTTGCAAGCTTTATGAGGGCAGGGATTTTTGCTAACATTTTACTAGCATTTTGATCAATGAATGCATGATATGTTTTGGGCACTCGGAAAATGTTTCTGGGCTCTGGCATTTTGTGGTGTTTGACCTTGCGTATGTTACAGTTTCTTTACCTTAAAATGGGATGGCAGTTGCTCTGTGTTATCATGGAGCATTACTATAGCTTCATAGATCTCTGAGGATCCCATGAGATAACAAGGGAGAACACCCAATAATAATATAACGCTTCCTGATGCAAAGTAAATGCCACTTTTCCCTTCTGAATGAAGCCAAATTTAAGTCTCCTTTAAGAAGTTGACATTTCTAGACTATCTTGCTATTTCCTTTTAAAATCTGTGCGTTTTTTCCCCCTCCTCCTTCAGAATAGGGCATATTTAATAGTCCTGTGAAGGAG